TAAAAATTGAGAAATACTTAAGTTATAGAAACATAAAATAAGGCAATAAAGCTAAAGTTGTTGTTATCCCGGCAACGTTGAAATATAACGTATAGAAAACCTGTTTTTAAAGTTCAAGTATTACGAGAATTTATTTATTTATACGCAAAATTGGTCGACGAAAACAATTCGAATTTCTCTTTAAAATCGAGTGCAGCGTATGCTAATTAATGAAATGCGGGATTATGAAAACCATTTGCTGCTGTCACGTCTCTTGAGCATGCATATGCGTTTTATATAAATTGAAAAAGTGACCTTCGCGAAAATATTTTAGCATAATTCTCGTTTGGCCTTTTCCGTATGCGCTTAAATATGCAGATAACGTTTAAAAATAATATACTTTTTTCTTAAACATTATAATATTATTTTAAATTGGACTGACTCATATCTGACAAATTTTAATTGTTATGGTCTTCTGGGTCATTATAATTTGTTTTTATTGTCAAAAATTGTTTATTTTTGGAGCGCCTAAGAATTTTTAATTAACGAAATAAAACATGGGAATTTCGTATCAGGTCAGTTTTTTACATACGTAGGTATATTGTGCAAAAAGGTATGTACTTGAACCATTTAAAATTTTTATGTAAGGAATCTAAAACTTGAAACCTTGAAATAACTCAGTTAGTATGCATTTAACGAAAAAATGTTTAAAATAAAAATTAAATGTTTCGAGAGGGGAAATCAATCAGTACTAAAATTGGTCCTCATACTCTCCTCCTTATAGGGGGAACAGGGGGTAACTTTAAAATTTCCAATGGAACACCCTATTTTTATTTCAGATTCGGCTGTAATAAAAAAAATCAATTTTGTTCGATTTTTCTTCTGTATACGATTCTCCAATAATTTTTCTATAAAAATATCACTTTTTTTAATAACAATTATCTTATTAAATTAAATCTGATTTCCTTAAGTACCCACGATTTTTAAACTAATATTAAGTTTCCTTTGGTTTAAGTTGTATACATTATTTCATTCGGTGATAATTATCAATTGCGCACCATGGTCACTTTTTACCTGCCAGCATTAAATTCTTTAATTTAAAGGATTATTGTACTATTTTACTAATTGAGGTATAAAGTTATAAATAATAATTATTATTGAAGTATAAGAAAGTATTTATAGTTCAGCATTAATTAATCAATTAAGTTCGAAGATTAATTTGCAAACAAAAAGACCTCCTTTCGTTAAGCAGTTATTCATAATGGATTTTTTAACAGTGGAATAAAAAATAGAAATGATTTTGATTTATGGAGAAACAGGCAGGAATCTTGATGATGCTGTTAATATCTACGCTCAGCGTTTTCCGGATAAAATTCGATAACGTACTTCATTTCACCGTACAGTCAAGCAGTTTACTACAAACGGGAGTGTTCAACCGAAAAAAAGAGTTCGCCGAGCAACAGTCACAGGTGGAAATAATGAAATTAATGTATTAGCAGCAACGGCCGCTAATCCTCATGCAAGCACACGAGAATTATCTAGAGATTTGGGATTATCCCAGAGCAGTGTTTTAGGCTTAAAAAAATACACTTTTTTGCAAGAAATACCAATTTGCTTTTACTGTTAACATCCTATTAAAATTGTGTGAATACTAATAGGTACTTATAAAGATAATAATATATTTAAAACAAATAACGGTTTTTTTTGTAAATCATCATCATAAAGCATAAAAATTAAAGATAATAGTGTTTGCAAATCCATAAACGAACATGTTTGCCTTTTAAATATTTTACACTTATTGACAATTGATAAGTTTTGTGAAATTTAAGAGAATACAAACAACGTAAAACAGTTATTTGTTTTAGATACGGATATTAGTAACATAAAACACACTTATCTCCGCAATTACCAATTATTTTAGTACCTAGTATTTAATTCGTTAATACGTTTTTTGATAATTTACTAGAAGGTTTTTAATTAATTAATTACAGCTATAAATTATGTTTGTGGGGGTGCCTATACAACAGATGTTTCAAAATAAAAATCTAGATCTTTAAAAACCAACTGTTTACGTAGCACACTATGTCAAAATATAAAAGAATCGCTTCCTTACACGAATTTTTCAAATGCCTTGAACTGTAAAAACTCGACCAAACCAAATTAATATTGATATTAGTTAAGTATTTATCGTGGCCTGGGGCGATGTTTAAAAGCATTTCATCAATTTCTAGTCAGCCGCGGTTTACTAATACATCAAGCTAGAATTGGCACCTGAGGCCTAGAAAATCCTGAGCAGTCTCTGATACACATTTAAATTACTAGATGCCATGTGTATACTTTCATTTTAACTAACGTTATTATTGGTAACATATTTTTGCAATAAGGACAATTTTACAAATTTACAAAGAAAAATGTAAGTGATTCTAATACATTGGCCAGGGGAATGAAAAAAACATGTTGGTATCAAAAAATGACACTGTAAACCATGAAATTCTTTTAGCAAAATTAAGGCATTAGGTGTTACAGGATTTTTTTATTTATAGTTATAAAGTTACTTCCATTCTAGAATTCAAACTGTTATAGTTCAGAATCAACATAACTAGCAAAATAGCAATTTTTAAAAAATTGATAATCTTTGCACTCACTTTTACCCGTCAGTTCTGTGTCCAATGTTAAAATTCAAAATTCCGAAATATTGAAGTTTAAGCGTAAAGTCCTCGTTTTAACTCAAGTGTTGGCAAAAAATTACCTACAGAGCCCGCCCTTTGCACGACAGTCATCTTGAAAACAATGCAAGCGGCGAAGTTGTGGTGAATGCACGTATAGTTTCAGTACTGTGGTGAGTAGTTATTTTCTTACATATATATATATATATATTTAATCGTAATTTATATAAGGCTATACGTGATTTGTTGATAAGTAGCATCCACTAATAAAAAATATCAGTAAAATACTTAATTCCGAATTATAATTTCAAATTTGTATCCCATTCATCAGTACCGTATCGTCAGTTCCATGTTTCGGTTATCTTTTTTTCGCAAACTTCAATTTAAATTCTGCTTGCGCAGAACTTGTTTATTTAATGTCATTATAAACTCATGTAAATTTCGTGTGCGTCCCATATCTAATAATTGATATATCGGTAAACCCAAAATCCACCAGCCGCCACTGATGTGTGGTATTATTTGATTTTAAGATATTTAATGTATAATATGCTCAAAGTTGCAATAAATCTTATATTTTCCAATAAATCATGAATTTAATTAGTACCCTGGTATACTCGTCACTTCCCTTGCATTCAAATTTAGAAAACATAGATATTTCAGAAACTGTTTGGAAAAGTGACTGGCCCGGTCTGGAACAGTATATTTATTTTATTATCTATGTTCTCATAACAAAATACTGTTTAATTTTCTCCGAAAACTATATAAAGAAAATGAGGTCAAAAGTTGCCCAACTTTTGTAGAATCACCCATATATCATTTTAATCTGTTACTGTTAATTTTTTTTGTAAAATTACAATTGTTTAAAACAATTTCTTTTGCAAAACATGATGAGTAAAATGACAAATCAGTGTATACCAATACAAAATTGACGAGGTGAAGGTTCAACTTTTCTTATTCTTTACAGTAATGGGTCTAGAAAGTTTTTTGAAGAAACTAAGAAAATTGCAGGTTTTTTTTTTCGTAGTATAATTACAATACCATCATTCGTAAATTACTAAATATATTTTGTAATTTTCTTAAACTGAGTTGATAGGAATTGTATAGTATAATTACAATACACCATTTTAAAATTACTAAACATATTTAGTATCTTTTTTAGCAAAATTACAATACCTGTATAGTAAATCTTAGTGAACAAATTTTTAATAAATGAGTAAAAACACGTCAAGTGGACCCCCCATTTTCCACTTGATCATCGAATTTGAATGTGAGTATTTTTTCATAAAGTAGTCACCATGAACAAATAATCCCCCGCTCAGTTTTTTAAAATTTTAATTTTAACAACAATTTTTTTTTAATTGAAAATTTTTACTACTTTTAGTTAAAAAATTAATAATGAAAAAACTATTGGTGATTTTTTAATGAAATTTTCAGGAGTTATAGTTCAATACTTGTACTTTAAGAAAATATGTATGAATTTGAATTATTTTTTTTTTGCATATTGTTAATTCACTTTTAAGTTAACAAATGAAAATTTTAATGACTTCTCCCTCAAAAAATGAAAAATTTTTTGTTCAGTATTTTGCAATAAACATTCAAGTAACGAAATCCGCAAAAAAATTTGACTGATCGCGATTAGATTTTTTATGACGGGCGGTCAGCGCTGCCGGTATAGCGAGCTGCCGCGCGTCATTGACTTACCTTTAGATTTACTCTGTAATTATAAATAAGAAATAATACTTAATGTTTTAATTAAAAATATCGTTATTTTATGATTAATTTTATTTAAACAAATGACAGAGATAATAAATTATATATTTTTTTATACATAAAAAATAGAGATAATAAATTCTAGCAGTATTCTGCTATTTATTTTCATTTATTGTTTTTAAAAAAATTAACGAATCATAATTATTTTAGTTTTTTTTAAATATATTGTTAATTTAATAAAAAAAACAAAAATTTTTATCAGTTACCCAACGTTGGTTAAACTGGTTATAACCAATATCAGTAAATAAATATTTGTGACAATCTTGTCAAACGTCAAACGTCTTGACGTTCTATTTAATAACTTTGTATTAAATCGTTTTTATTGTTCTAAATTTAATTAGTTTCTTCCGAATTTGTTTAAAATTTTATTACTGTATTGAAGTTTATTGGTGTTCGTAATTTCGTTAATACTTAATATTTAATTAGTCATGAGCCGCGTAAATAAATGCTGCAATCCATTTAACAAAAAAAATCATAAAAAAGTCATTATAAACTTAGTTTTAATAACAAAAAACCGCGCTCATAATTTTAAAGATTTTATTGGCGATTATATGTGCAATTCATGTGAACGGACTATTTATTCAGGTCGAAAACCTGAAATTCTTGGTGAATTATCGGTGAATAAATGTCCTGAAGTCAACAAGCCTGAAAAGTCAAATGATGTGATCGAAGATGACGAAGAAAAAGATCCTACTTTTCAATGCAAACCGGTAGATATCAAATTAAAAATTGATAAGGTTAATAAATTATTAACGGAAATTGGTGAACCTCCAATCAAAATCAAGAGAGTCTCAAGTGATATAGAATGTCAAAAAGTTTTAACAAATGTTGTGAGGAAATTTACAGATAATATTAACAATATAAATAATGAAATTGATCCAAAAGAGCTTTTACTTAATAACTTTAAATCTGCTTTTAATAATAAAACTAGTAGAGCTGATAAAATTCAGGTTTTGACTACGCTTCCTACAGATTGGTCGATAAAAATGATAAGGAGAGAGTTTAAAGTTTCCAAACGTATGGTGATAACTGCAAAAAAAATGAGACAAGAACGAGGATTTGCATCGCAGCCTAAAATGAAGAAAGGAAAATCTTTAAACAATGAAACCCTCGATCGTATTGAAGCTTTCTATTTATCCGATGATGTCAGCCGCGTAATGCCTGGTATGAAAGATTATGTTTCGGTAATTGAGAATGGGAAAAAAATCCAGAAACAAAAACGATTATTATTATATAATGTTCACGAAATACACAAAAAATTTACTGACGCTTATCCTGACGAAAACATTGGACTATCAAAATTTCAAAAACTCCGACCTCGGGAATGTATATCTGCCGGCAAAAGTGGGACCCATAATGTGTGTGTGTGTAAAATACATCAAAATTTTAAATTGCAATTAACTGGATTTAAAAATGAATTTAAAAAAAAGAGAATAATTTTTTCAGAAAGCTCAAATGACTTAATTAAAAGCTCTGCTTGCCAAGAGTCTGCATCATTGTGTTACTTTTCTGAGTGTACTAAGTGTCCAGGAACTGATAATATTATAAATAAATTGGAACTATTTCTCAACAACCATGAAATAAATGAAATTACATACAGCCAATGGAAAAGTACTGATAGGTAAAGACATTTTCAGTCAAATGTTATTTTTTTAAATTTTTGTAATTATTCTTATCAAATAATTTTATATTTACTTGACTGAGTAATTAATATTTTTTTTATTAATTAATATTCTTTTTAAATAATAATCAAATTATTAGATTTTGTATGTTTAAATTGTTAATTTTTTTGATTATCCTTTTTTTTATTATTACTCAAATCAGTTAATTTATTTTGAATTTTTTAGAACTGAAATCATTGAAGAAACGAAAACGAAAGAAGATTTTTTTAATGATTTAAGACAAAAATGGCCTGAATTATTGAGACATAATTTTCTTGCACGATCTCAAGCGTCATATTTTACTGACAAGAAGGAATCTGTTGAGGATGGAGAATTTATCGTTTGCCTTGATTTTTCTGAAAACTATACTTTTTCTGTTCAAAATGCCATCCAATCTCATCATTGGAATAACAGTCAGGCTAGAATTCACCCTTACGTTGTGTATTATAGAGAAAATGAAGAAATGAAACATATAAACTACGTTGTCATTTCGGAAAAAGTTAGTCACGACGCGAGCTCTGTTCACCTTTTTAATTTTAAACTGATTGAATTTCTAAAAAATAGGTTTGGAGAAGATAAGATAAAAAAAATTTCCTATTTTTCGGACGGAGCTGCTTCTCAGTACAAAAATAAGTATAATTTTGTGAATTTAATAAATCATAAAAAGGATTTTAACGTGGACGCTGAATGGAATTTTTTTGCTACTTCTAACGGGAAAGGGGCGTGTGATGGTTTGGAAGGAAGTTTTAAAAGGCAAGCTTTTCGTGCAAGTCTTCAACGGGAAAGCGATAAGCATATAACCAATCCAACTTCATTATTTGAATGGGGTAAGAATGCATTTAAAAAAAATTAACTTTGGTTTTTGCTCCCAAGAAGATCACGACTCCCATGAGAAGAAGTTTAAATTACGTTATGACCAATGTGTAACCATAAAAAATACACGCCAATATCATCATTACAGAGCTGTTAATAATACATCACTCGAGTGCAAAGTTTTCTCCAAAGCCCTTAAAATCGTTACCAATAACGTTTAAAAAAAAAGAAATAAAGCAATAAGTATGAGTTATAAGAATTAATTTAAAAATTATTTAACTTCTTTGTTTTTTATTTATAAAAAAATATATAATTTATTATCTCTGTCATTTGTTTAAATAAAATTAATCATAAAATAACGATATTTTTAATTAAAACATTAAGTATTATTCCTTATTTATAATTACAGAGTAAATCTAAAGGTAAGTCAATGACGCGTGGCAGCGCGCAATACCGGCAGCGCTGACCGCCCGTCATAAAAAAATTTTTTTTGCTTAATCTAATCGCGATCGGTCAAATTTTTTTGCGGATTTCGTTACTTGAATGTTTATTGCAAAATACTGAACAAAAAATTTTTCATTCTTTGAGGGAGAAGTCATTAAAATTTTCATTTGTTAACTTAAAAGTGAATTAACAATATGCAAAAAAAAATAATTCAAATTCATACATATTTTCTTAAAGTACAAGTATTGAACTATAACTCCTGAAAATTTCATTAAAAAATCACCAATAGTTTTTTCATTATTAATTTTTTAACTAAAAGTAGTAAAAATTTTCAATTAAAAAAAAATTGTTGTTAAAATTAAAATTTTAAAAAACTGAGCGGGGGATTATTTGTTCATGGTGACTACTTTATGAAAAAATACTCACATTCAAATTCGATGATCAAGTGGAAAATGGGGGGTCCACTTGACGTGTTTTTACTCAAATGCTTAGTGAATTTCAACAAACGTTTTGTAATTTTCCCAAATTGTGTTGTAATGAATCGTGTAGTGAATTTACAAAACTGAGTTTTATTATTACTATATTGTGGTGCGTAAAAACTTCCTAAACATGTTTAGTAGGGTGATTCATTTCCGCAAAGTTTTTGTTTTTTTTTTCGGTGCTCAAGCAAAATATTAATCTGCATATAGGAAAAAACATTCTCACCAAGTTTGAGCTCTTATATATTATAATATTAATTTTAAGCACTTACTATTTAAATTTAAAGTTTTACCGTTTAAAATGCTTGTAAAAAATATATTTATATATTTTTTCAAATTTCTAATGCTTACCCACCTTTGACAATATTGCAAATCGGTTTAAAACACCTTATGGGGAATTTCACGCTCTTTAAAATTGCTTTTGAGTTTTTTTTTGTAACTCGCATTGGTTCACCAGTATACTCCTATAGGAGTCGTCAAAGGACAGTTTTTGAAAAAAATCGTTTTTTTTATTTTTTTGAGCAAATCGCCAATAGTAGTGAGAAAAAAGGGCTGATTCATAAAAAAAAGTTATCCAACCAATATTTAATGAATTTACTGCCATTTTTATAACTGAAAACGTAAGATATTGATAAATACCAACCCATAATGTTATTTAGATTGTTTTTTTCTATTTATTATCATTATATTTCTCTACACTAAGAACTTTTTTAAAATTATTATGATTTCTCACTCATAATGAATATGAAAACAACACATAAATTCATAAAAAAAAACAAAACTTTAATCGGAATATACAGAAGGTTATGTAACATATTTCAAATTTCGCTTCAAAAAATTAAATAATCTTCATTTATATTTTTTTGCTATATGACAGAAATGTTGAAAAATTGCAAAATCCACGTTACAATTTTCTTATTGTTTATTTTATGAATTTATCTGTTGTTTTCATATTCATTATAAGTGAGAAATCAATAATTTTAAAAAACTTCTTAGTGTAGGGAAATATAATGATAATACATAGAAAAAATCAATCTAAATAACATTATGAGTTGGTAATTATCAATTTCTTACGTTTTCAGTTATAAAAATGGCTGTAAATTCATTAAATATTGGTTGGATAACTTTTTTTTATGATTCAGCCCTTTTTTTCTCCCTACTTTTTGCGGTTTGTTAGAAAAAATTAAAAAAAAAAACGATTTTTTTCAAAAACTGTCCTTTTGACGACTCCTACTGGTGAACCAATGCGAGTTACAAAAAAAAACTCAAAAGCAATTTTAAAGAGCGTGAAATTCCCCATAAGGTGTATTAAACCGATTTGCAATATTTTCAAAGGTGGGTAAGCATTAAAAATTTGAAAAAAAAAATATATTTTTTACATGCATTTTAAACGGTAAAACTTTAAATTTAAATAGTAAGTACTTAAAATTTATATTAAGAGCTCAAACTTGTTGAGAATTTTTTTTTCTATATGCAGATTAATATTTTGCTTGAGCACCGAAGAAAACAAAAACTTTGCGGAAATGAATCACCCTAAAACATTGTTTAGTAAAATTAGCAAAATTTTATATTTTGTTTTTACAAAACAGTTATCTAGGATGTGTCATCGTCAAGGCATCTTTAACTAAGTACACAGCCCATAGACAAACTAAACTCTGTGTCGCTTCGATTCTCGAGCAACAACAGCCACAGCGCATCTCGAAAACCGTTCGTTATCTCATCGAATCTTCGCGGGAGAGAATGCGTTTCATTCATTCATCCCGATGCCATTCATCGAAAGCAGACGTAAAACGTTTAAACGTACCACGACGTATGCTGCACTTTTCAAAGTCTTTGCCAGACGTCGCTGATATAGGACGTCCAGTCACCAACTGTTCTGTTTCAAATGACTTTACGTTTTAAAGACTGTTTATTCACAAATTTGGAGTCTGAAAGCATAGATCCTATCAACATTTTACTATTAACTAGTTAAAAATCGCTTTCTTATATTTTTTTTTCCTTTAAATTCTAATATGTCAATATATTTAAAAAATAACCATTATATAATAGATAATCCTTTTAAGGTTTTATTTACACTGGGATTTGTTTAAAAAAAGAACATAAATTTATTATTTATAAAAAAATGTTGAGTACAAAACTAAGTAAAAGGAAAAACAATGTTCTATTTCTCAACTTACTTACATACATAAGTATTTTTTTCTACTCCCACCTTATAAGTTAGTTGACAGTTGTCAAATGTCATACAATCGTTAAAATAAGGTGCCTTTCTTGTAAAATAATACTAAATGTGAAAATTATTTTATTATCTCAATACAAAAATACAAAAGTATTAAATAGTTTCTCAAGGCCAATATTTGAAAAGTTTATATGAACATTGTACTGACCTTTTAATTTCGCCGGCAGTAAACTATAACTTAGTCCTCATAAAACATTTTCTTTATTTTCACTGGGAAAAACTATCAATTTTCAAGAAATACATTTCGATTTATAACCTTTATAATCTGTGTTTATAAAATTTAAAATGTAACATTTGACGGTGGCACACAGATTCCCCTATTGTTTCATAGATGGCGCTCTATACAAATTTTTGATTTAAATCATTTTAAGATAATAATAAGTATTTGTCGTGGAAAAGTATAGTATGCACCTCGTTTATAAACTTTTCTATACACTCATATAAATATTCCCACAAATGGTCTTTCTCTGTAATATTTGGAACATATTTTCAACTATATAAAAAAAGAGAATGTTATTTTACTCTAAGATGTTTTAATAAACGTTATGTGTGTAGTATAGTATGCAACTCGTTTTGTAAACTCCAGACACTCGTTTTAATTAAACACTCTCTCGTGCGTAATAAAACTCTTATCAAAAATGGCGTTTATAAAACTTGATACATATTATATTATTAAACCCAAAATATAAAAAATACTATGTTATTATACACCCACTAATTTTATCCAAGTTTATGCCACGGGCCAAAAACTGTAATTTAATTTCTATACGTAAATATTTCAATAACCCGAAATAGGTACGTATGTAGGTAATAATTATTCGTTTTTTGTGGTTAGGTGGTCTCAAACAAACTACAAAACCTCAGGTCAATTTTCAGCTTTTTTCTCTCTCAATGGGTTTCCTTGATAATATATGGCCAGCAACACTTGACTTGAAAGGGATTCCCAAAGAATGACACTTGTAGGGGCCTATCAAAACATTTAACACAATAAAGTATTAACAAGAAGAAAAGAGCACACAGATTTCTTTGCGTTAAGTTTGATAAATGGTTGATACTTAAAGGTAGGTAGATTTTTAAATCGTGTCAAATGTGGGAAATACTTCACATGTTATAAAAATTAATTGGGCATATAATTTACCTTAAATCAAATTTTTGAAAGTCGTATTTTAAGTATATAGATCACCTTGAGTTCTGGTTATTTTTTTGAAGTAAGATAATTA